GCCTGGTGCAGGTCACCCCGCAGGTACGCGATGCCCCACCACATGGAGGCCATCACCAGCCAGGCCACCGTGTAGGTCAGCAGGAAGATGAGCAGGTTCCAGCGCCACTTGAGGTCCACCAGCGTGGTGAAGAAGTCGGAGAGGTAGCGGCTGCTCTCGCCGCCCAGGTTGCCGTGCTGCACGTTGCAGCGCCCGTTCTTGTCCACGAAGCGCTGCCGCTCTCTGCGGGCGCTGCAGCGAGCGAGGCCCACGGCCTGGTACTCGTCCCCAAACTTCCTGCGCACGGCTGACATCGCCGCCCGTGCCGAGGGGCTCCGCGGGCACGCCGGGGATGCGGCGGGGCCGGAGGCTGAGCGCGCCTCGCTGCCTGAGCGCAGCAGCCGCCGCGACTCGGGGAGCACCGGGACACCCGCGGAGCCGGAGCTGGAGCCGGAGCGGCGATGCCAGCGCTGCCCGATCGCCAGCAGGGCTGGGGAAGGGCCGGAACAACCGCGGCCTGAGCGGGCAGACACGGTGACAGGACCGCACCGCCGGCGGGGAGAGCCGGGATGGGGCGGGCTGGGCTGGGCTGGGCTGGGGCGGGGAGAGAGAGGCTGGGCTGGGGCGGGGAGAGCCGGGCTGGGGCGGGGAGAACCGGGCTGAGTGGAACCAGGCTGGGTGGGTCCAGCCGGGGGTCCGGGGCGGCTCCAGCCGGGGTTCGGGGCGGCCCCAGCCCGGGTTCGGGGCGGTTCCAGCCCGGGTTCGGGGCGGTTCCAGCCCGGTCTCGGGGCGGCTCCAGCGCCGGGTGTGTCTGGCCGAGCCCCGCGGGGTTGGGCGGTCAGGGTGGCGGGGTCCGGGGGGACACAGCGGCGGGTCCGGGGCTGGGTCCCGGCGGATTTTTGCTGCCAGCCGTGTGCCAGCAGCGCCTCGTTCGGCCTCGGGGACCCTCGGGATCCCCGTGCACAGCTCGGTTCCCCCAAGGCCCGGTGCCCAGCTCGGCTGCCCTGGTGACAGTGACAATGGGCGCGGCACCGAGCCCTCCGCTGACAGGAGGAATTTGAAAGGGGAAATCGCTAGGTAGGTCATCTCTTACACAAAGAAATGCAAAGAGGCTAATCCTCAGTCCGCATTTCAAGTAAAATAAGTATTCCAAGTAAACCATAGCCTTTACCATAGTAAAGCCTGGTCCATAGGATTTAGACTGTGATAATGCCCAGGTATTCCTGCTTAACACAGAGAAGTTGTTCCAAAGACCCTTCCCTAGAAGCTAAGCGACTACAGTGCAGCTCTCCTGTTTTTGGTGGCTATATTAAATCAGCAATGTTAAATTTTAAAGGCATTACAAACTCAAAAATGGGGCTATGCTGCTGAATTTCCCCTCCACCGCATTTATTATTTTTAATGTCTCTCAAAAATAATTAGTATTCTAATTCTCAGCTGTAGATGAACAGTATTATCATTCAGGTCAGTCATTTCAACTCCTGCATTTCAGCAGAGCACTGTCATTACAAAACTGTAGCCTGCAGTTACTGGGATTTTAGAAGATGAGTCTGCAATAGATGGCAACCATGTTTTGCTTCAGTCCTAGACTGGGAACTGAACAAAGTATTCATCTGCCTGAAGTTTAATTTCAGTATTTTCAAGCATTTTAAAATACATATGGAGAGGGTAATATTTTGGGGTTTATTTGCTGTCAGTGGCATAAATCTCAGTTTAACTACGCTCCTTTCAGATAAACTGAACAAAGTTGATGGACTTTACTGAGGGATTAAGGGTTATATTCATAAAAGGCCATGGGTACCAAAGCTAAAACTTGAATCTTTAAACTCCTGCACAGCTCCCTGCCTGAAGTGGAGGTTTTCCTGTTTTTGAGGAATGCTCCTGCACTTTTCCTTGCTCTCACTGCAATCTGTACTTTCTGTGGTCACTCAGACCTGCTGGCACAGTGTCAGTTTTACACAGAAGGGAAGATGGAACAGGAGTGCTGTGTTTCTTCCATGAGCTCAGCCGGGGCAGAAATGCACTGCTTGAATTCCTGTCAAATCTTCAGCTTGCTAGAGAAGTATGTGGATCAGGAAAATTCCTGCTTGCCCTGTACAGATCTAGCCCACCTTAGCAAATCCAAGCTTTAATATGTTCAGTATGAATTTCTGCCCTCACAGGTAGTATATTACTGAAGTCTGCAGTGGTGAAGCTGCATTTCAAAACAGCAGGAGATCTGCTGCAAACAAGTTGTTGATTTGTGTCTCAAGCATTGGCAAGGGTAGTTAGTACCTACGAGTTCCAGTCAGTAGTTTTCATTTGTCAAAAAAAAATACAGAATTTTCTTATGTTAAAACTTACTTCACAAGCAGGGAGAAACTTCAAGTCTTTCAAGGCTAGACTAGACATAAAAATAAATAATTTTACAAATAAAAATAAAAAGTTTCTACAAATGACTGTTCACAAACAAGATAACTCTGACTGCATTTTCCAAATAATTTTGATTCTTTGAACAGATTTTGATGGCACTCATAATGTTGTGATTTAGCTGGAAACTAAGCAGTGATGCACAATACAATCAGACCACCTGCCAACTGATGGCAGACCCTGTCCCTGAACTCCTATCAGTGCCCCTTTCAGGTAACTCCCAAAATTTATGCACAGAGTGTGATGTTCTGTGGTGTGGAACATCCTTTGGCCAGTTCAGGTCACCTGTTCTGGCTGTTCTCCCACTCAGCTTTTGTGTGCACCTCCTCAGTGGCAGAGAATGAGACACAAAAAGTCCTTGACTTAGATAAACACTGCTTAGCAACAACCAAAACCATCAGTGTGTTATCAACATTGTCCTCATACTGATTCCAAAACACAGCCCTGTGCCAGCTACTAAATTAACTCTATCCCAGCCAAAACCAGGACACTTGGGAAAAGACCTTATCCATAACTAAAGTGGGTATGTTGGAGGTAAAATCTACAGACTCCATAGCACGATTTCAATCTGATTCAGCTGCTGTTGAAAATAGCAAAATAACAACTAGAACTTCTTCTCTTCTCTTCTCTTCTCTTCTCTTCTCTTCTCTTCTCTTCTCTTCTCTCCTCTCCTCTCCTCTCCTCTCCTCTCCTCTCCTCAATTTTGGATCTTTTTCAGCCTGATGCTAGAGTGGGAAAACATAATCATAAGGTTCAGAGATTTTTATCTCTTAGATTTTAGGCAGAGTTTCTTTCACTTCATTATTTTATTAAGAGCAGACACAAGACCTGTTTTTACCTGGGAAATATTTGGGTACTTTCTGCTTGCAAGGGTAGTTGTCATGAGAAAGAGCAGTCTCTGAAAGAGCAACACATTCACCTACAATATTTTATGTTCTCCGTTTTATAAGAAGACAGAGTTATTCTGCATAGGTGACAAATCAAAAAAACAATACCCCAATTTCAAGATTATTTTTAAAGTAACCCTCCAACTGCAACGCAATGGAAATGGTCTACAGTGTTACAGATCTGCATTTACATTCAGTGATGCCATCAGAGCACAGGAGTGTAAGTTTGAATCTCTAAGTGCACAGAATTGGGTGTTAACGGCTTTGAAATGGGTCATTAATGTCTCAGGTGACTTTGGGCAGCAGGTTTGGCTCCTGAGATAGACAAGGGTCTGCACAAGGCGGAGTTTCTGAACTTTGGGGTAAAATGCCAGGTTTAAGAGGCGATATCTGGCAGGTGGTTCGGGAAGGCTGCACCTTCGGGGTACCTTAGCAATGGGGAAAGGAAGAGGGAACGTGAGGCTGCGAGTTTGGGGTGAAAGGGAGGCTGAGCCCTCGGGAACCCCGAGAGAGAAAACCCCGCGGGCGTGTGCCCTGCTGGCCTCTCTCCCTTTATTCGAATAAAGTTGAAGGACTGCTCTGTCTCCTTTCTGGACATAAACCTCTGACGTTCTGGATTTTCCTGACAGTTCCCAAGGGTGACTTCATCAAGCGGCCTGTGGAGGCCGGGCCGAGGCAGCGGCCAGGCCCGCCCGGCGCCCCCGGCAAAGCCGCGTCGGGAGCCGCCAGCTCTGGGGCCAAACCCGGCAGCGGAGCTGGCAGGCGCTAACGCTGACGGGGCGCTGTTGGATTTCATTGAGAACCGCTCTGCGGCACCATCCACCCGCTCGGCACAGCCCCACACAGCCCGGGCGGCCCGCCGGCCATGGCAGCTGAGGGGAAGGAGGCGGGGAGGGAGGCGGGCACAGAGCGGCTCTGAGGGCGCATGAGCGAGGTGCGCTGGAGGCTGCGGGAGCTCCGTGCCCGGCCGGGGCCGCCTCCAGCGCCGCAGGAGCCCAGCCCGGGCCGCTCCCGCAGGTAACGGCGGCGCGGGGCAGCGCTCGGCTCGGCCCGCGGCCGTGGCTGCACAGGCGGCCGGGCCGGCGCCATTTCGCGGCGCATCGGGCCGGGCTCGGCGCTGCCTTCGAGGCGCGGCCCGGCGGGAGGGAGCCCGCGGGGCTGCCGGGTGTGCCCGGGGGGCTCGCTCCGAGCTGAGGGCTCCAAGCCGTCCCTGGTGGATGCGGGCCCGGGGTGTGCTCGCCGAGCGCGGCCTCGGAACAGGTCAGGCAGGGCCGTCTCGCTGCTGTGCGGGAGCGCCGGTCCGCAGCAGCCCGGAGCTGTGAGGAGGTCTGGGCCCGCAGCTATCGCCTCCGGCACAGTCACCGCGGGCCGGGCTCGCTGGAGCTCACATAAAGCGCTCTCCGGGCCGGGACAGCCGTGCCGGGGTTGCCGGAGCTCTGCCCGTGCGGTTCGGGCGGGCCCCACATCCGAGGCTGCCCCGCTGAGCCCGGAGCTGCCCCCGGGCCTGGGGCTCGGGAGAATTGTCCGGCCCCGCCGTGCCGGCAGGGAACCATGGGCGGTTTTGTCTCTGCTTCGCTCAGCCATCAGAGCGGTGTCTTTCTCCGTGCTAGAGTAGGAACCGTGCCCCGCGGTTTAGACAGGAGCTGAAATCCTGTGTGGCCGTCAGCTCGCACCTATGGCCCGATGAGCATAGTGATGGAGCTTCTGACCTAGGGCGAGGTAAAATGTTAAACTGCAGTTGCTTTCTGAAAGCAGCTACAGCTTTGAATGATACAATCTGGATTAAGGAGCTTTATGTTGTCTCAGGCTGTGAATCACAATGGGTTTATTCTGCAAGTTAATGGGGATATTCCAGGTCATATTATGCTTCTGTTTTATCCCCTGCTTTGACCCCATGGCGAGCATCAGTTCAGTTTATTTAGCCCTTTCCAAATATTAACAGCCCTTTTTCTAGGTAAGAAAGGTGCTTCAGGCATCCAGTCTTGGGAGCAGCTGGGCAGGGATGTGTGTGAAAAATGAATTAAGATTTAGGTAGATATTTTTAAAGAGGAAAAGTGTATTTGAGTCTATTGGTACTAAAATGATGAGAAGACAGATTTATGGTTTTGAGACCCATCTTGCAAAATATCAAATGCTGGGGCTGATTTTAATACCTCTGAGAGCCAGCCCTGGGTATGGAATGATTTTCATCCTTTGGAGTGTTCATTCCAGGCAGTTCTGTGTAATGGGATTTTTACAGAGCATGGAAGATGCCTCTAGGGGAAGTCTCCATTTTGATTGCTGTACCTAACTCGACAAATTCTGATGCTCCTGAGTTTTCTGTCAGGTTTTTAAGATGCTGAAATGTGTGTTTTCCAGATTCCTGTGTGGGCTGTTTTTTCACTGAGAATCAGGAAAATAACTCGGCTTTTTGTGGGTTTTGGTGCTAAATAGGTTAGACTGTAGGAAGCACACATTGTTGCAAAGATGAAGCGTGCAATTAAAGTTCCCTTTCTTAATAATTTGAGAAGATTGAAATATGTGTCAAATGAAATGCCACAGTCAAGGAACCAAAGCAGTTCAATGAATTGCCTATAAATTTCTTTTGGCACAAAGTGAGTGTTTGTGAGTGAAATGTTTTATTTCTTCCAAGCAATAGGCAGTAAGAGTGTTTAAATAAAGGTATAGTATATATAAAGCACTGGAGTACAATCCATGGATTAGAGTGAAATTTCAACACTCAGTTCATTTACTTAGAGAACTCCAGTTATGTTTTGATGCCCAGATGGATTAATTAATTGTAGTGGTGGAAAATGCAGGGTGACTGTTGAGCTTAGTATTTCACTGTGTTGTAGAGAAACTCAAGAATCTAGAAAATTCTAAATAAGTAAATGCTAATTTGCCATGCAGTACTATGGTATTTTCAGGCAGCTAGTCAAGAAAATTTGAATTGGAAGATCATCAAACTTGTTTTATGCAATCAAAATATCAGAGACTTATCTACAAAAAGAAACACAAGGAGCATCCTTTTTTGTGTTCAGCAAAGAGTTGGAGTATGTGTGCTGTTATGGAAGTTTATTTTTATGCAAAGATTAGTCCAATGAATTTTATAAGCGTGAACAAGATTTTAAGTGCCCTGAACCACAATGTTTCATCTAGGACTGGCAGTTATATGCTTAGATTCAGTTTTACTTTTTTTTAATTACAAAAAAATTGCTTTGGAGTAATTTGCTCTCAGTGATGGGAGAAATCTGCAAGAGAAATATCTAAAGCAGTTTCTGAGCAGTGGAAGTAGCTTTATTTTTTATAGCATCCTTAGTACCTGTGACAAGTACCTGTGCCAGGGTGACAGTCCTGGCAGCTTTAAGGAGCTGCCTGTAGCTGTAGCATTCAGCAGAACCCCAGGGATGTGCACATTTCTTTGGGAAATGCTTTTAGGAAGGCCCAGAACATGTTGTGATGTGGCACCATCCTGCATGCTCTATTTGTGCATGGAATATTTTCCAGTGCTTTTAAACATCCCTTCTCTGCTCTTTTTTCAGACAGTTATTTAGACCTGTTAAAAATGAGAGATATTCTCTTTAGCCTCAGCTTTATCCATGATACAATATGCTTATTACATAACCTAGTATTTTTCATTTTGTTACTTGCATAATAACTGCAGAACTGTGCTTGATTCAGGTTAAACTGAAAACTTGAAAAATTGCTATTTTTACATGCCTGACATTTTGCTTGCATGCTTGGGCTTAGCTATTATGTTTGCTCATTTCAGGACTGCCTCTGAATTGCAATCCAGAAAGAAGAAACAATCCTGTTGGTTGCAGTGGAACATTTGTGTGTGAGAATAAGAGCAGAGCCATGCCAGTGCTTTCAGAAGACTCAGGTAACTCAGCTGCATGCTTTCAACAGAACACTGACTGAAATCTTACCACGGGGGTTTCACACATCAAATTAATTCAAATTGCAGTAAAATAGAATGGAATTAAGATAATTCAACTGAAGTTTTTTAGCAATTACCTGCAAGAAGGAAGGTGGAGTATAAAAGGTGAAAGTTAGTAAAGTTTGTCAGGAAACAATTTCCTAAGAGCCCTAGAGCCCCTGAATACATTGTGATAGACCTGAATATATCGTGATAGACCTGAATATATTCTGATAGGCTTCTGTAGACAAAGTTGGACCTCTTAGTGTAACAGTGCCTTCTACACGTGGTTATTTAAGATCAACCCATATATATCTGCTCTTTGCTGTGCAATTTCTTAATATTTTCTGAAAAAATAAGATGGGGTTGATAAAGTTTGTTAATATTCTTCCTTTGAACTTAAAAAAAGTGGTTTTGTTCAAGGCTACTTAACTAGCTTCTCCAGTTTGCTGCCCAGGGAGAAGTCATAGGTACTAAATGATGCTTAGTGTTAAAGCAGAAGTGAGTTTGAGTCTTCTGGATCAAAATCCACTCCAAGGTTCATGGAGAGAATAGTCACAGGAATAGATTTGAATCCCCTCACCTTTTTTTCCCCTTTATTTTCATGCTTTGTTTTGATCTTGTCTTCCCAGACATGGTTCACCAGGAAAAATCTGGCATTTGTCTGGCCCTGTGTACTGCAAAATTGGGATATTGGTGATTTAAACACGTGTTAGAAAAGTAGCCATCAGCTTTGATTCCACAAAATGGAAATTTACACCTGTCCTTTCTTCCTCTGGTCAGGCCTGGCTTCTTACAGGTGCCTCAGGGGTAGAAAGGGCAGGATGACACTTGTAAGCAAAGTTGCTGGGGAAGTAGAGCTGCTGTCTGTGCAACAAAGGAGGTGGTTCAGTCATTCTGAGAGTTTGCTGTGGCACTAAAAATTCAGAGTTTGTAAGAGGGAAACAAAGGGTTCTGGAAACAAAGCATAATAAACATGAAGTGGGAAATGTGAAAGGTAATTAAAAAAATATTTATTTCTTTGTTAGCTTTTGCCTTAATATGATGTTGTGTTTGCCACTTCTGAAGGGAGTGTTGCAAAGTGAGTGGTGGATAAACACAAGATAAACATGAGTCTCTGTGCAGACTTGACCACCAGTGTGGTACCCAGGTAAATACAGTGAGTGTTAAGTCTGCAGTGGAAGGTCCCATGAGAAATGCTGTGTACAATGTTTTTGTTCTGTCCTGAATCGAAATTTAGGATTGCATGAAACTTTGGCCCTTTTGACGTCTCAGCTAAGACCTGATTCAAATCATAAAGAGGAAATGGGATTCCTTAGGGATGTCTTCAGTGAAAGGAGTCTCAGCTACCTGATGAAGGTAAAAGTTTATATTTATTTATGTACATTCTCCTTACAGTTCACTTTCTCTCTGTTCCCTTGATTTATCAGCCATTTACTTTGCCAAACTTTTTTTTAAGAATTCTGTCCCAGCCAATGCATATGTGTGTTTAAGAACAAACATTAATGACATTTGACAATTAGCATATTTTGTTCAGAAATAAATTTTTCTGCTCTTCTTGCTGAAATGAAGATACAGTGCCCCATAGCTCAAAAATAGTGTGAAGTGGCTTAATTTTTTCCATTAGGCTCCTAAAGTCTTTACAGATTTTCTGACTGTCTGAAACTACCATGAGCAAAAAGAAAGCTAAAAGACTCCTAAACAAAACAAAAATAATCCTAAAAGAGATAATTTATGTGATACATGTCAGAAAAATAATGTTCCTTAAATAGAAAAATATTCCGGTGTAGGTATATTTAGAAAGTTTTCTATCTCTGTACAAATATCCCTGAATAATTTTTTTTCAGATTCATGAAAAACTCCGTCATTATGAAAGACAGAGTCCAACTCCTGTTTTACATAGTGCAGCAGGATTAGTTGAAGATGTGAGTAAAAATTCTTGTCTCATAATTTTCCTATTATTTATGCCTGTTTTTCTAACAAATCAAAGCTTTGCAATTGTACTATATGTGAACATATTTCTCATCTTCCCCAGTTGTCTTTGTAACCTGTTGGCCATGATGAATCAAGGAAATGAGAGCTCAAAAACACCAAGCCATTAGGTGATGTCTAGTGAAGGTGGACACATTCAGGTAGAAGGAAAGGATGTTATTAATGGCCTTCCTAAGGGAGAGGCTGCAGAAAGCTTTCAGTGCTGTCTTGACAATAGGCTGTGCCAGCTGAGCATTCAGTCTTTTGTTCAGGCTGAAAACCATTAAAGCCAGGCAGCATTGCTGTGGACACAGCGTGGTTTGGGTTGGAGGGACCTTGAAAAGTGATCTCATCTAACCACCACAGGCAGGCTCACCTTTCCCAGATCAGATTGCTCACAGCCCTGTTTATCTTGATTTTGAGCATTTCCAGTGGTGGGGCATCCCAAACTTCTCTTGGCAGCCTTGTTTGCAGCATCTCACCACCTTCATCATAAAAAATTCTCCCTTATTTCCAATCTAAATCTGCTCTCTTTCAATTGAAAGCTTCTGTCACTACAGGTCTTGGTAAAGAGCTTTTCTCTCTCTTATAAACCTCCTTTATGTAAAGTCTCCCCCAATCCCTCTCTTCTCCAGGCTGAGCAATCCCAACTGTCTCATCCTTTCCTCATAGGAGAGGTGTCCCAGCCCTCTGAGCATTTTCCTGATGCTCCTGTGCATGCCCTAGAGCTGCTTGTGCACTGGGGGCTCTGGAGCTGGACACTGCTCTGGATCAGGGGGTCCCATGAGAGCAGGAGGGAGAGTTTCACCTCCCCTGACCCGGGCTGGGCTTCTCCTCATGCAGGCTGGGACACAGTTCTCAGCTGCAGGCACACAAAGCCATCGTGTATTTGATGTTTCATCTACCAGGATCCTCAGGCCATTCTCCTAAGGGCTGCTCTCAGTCTGTTCACACAGCAGAGTTGTGTCTTGGATTTGTGTGTGCCTGTGAAGTGAACTTTACTCTGCATCTGCTGGTTTTTTACATGCACCTGTCTGTACCATAGTGTGGGAAGGGGCAGTGGAAGGTTTGGGAGCTGGAATATTTATTTCCCTTTTCAAAGGCAGGAGACCCCAGTGCCCCACCTGAACATGCAGCACCCCCTTTACCTGCTCCCACACACACTGTTCCACCTCCACAAAGGTTTCAGCATTGCTACCTGTCAAGTCATACAAAATTTCCATCTTCAGATTAGCAGAGAAGTTTTTAATAGAGCTATATGACTTCCCTGTTCAGAACCCTTAACAGAGTGAGGAAATCTCTTTTTCCCTCAACCCATTTTCCTTTCCTTGTCTCTCCTCCCACCCAATCAGCCCAGTGCAGAAGTGCCTCCTTTATTTCTCTGATCTTTTGTTTAAAATGCCTGAGACTCTGGGGCATATTTTGGTGTCCAGGTTTTGCAGGGGAAAAGGGAAGTTATGTTGCATGTTCCACACAGGTAATACTAAATGCCTGCAGAAAAGTTTAAAGTCTTTTATTAAATAATAAAAGCACAAGAGTGTTGTTTCAGGTATCATTTGTGTATTCCATGTAGAATTTAAAATTTCAGAACTCACTTCTGAAATTATATAGATGGAATAACTCTTAAAATGTATGTTTAGGGATTGTGATTCTGATTCCTAATGCTGTCTTCTGTACTGTCTAATAAAAATAGCTGCAGAAACTTTGGTTTTGTTCATGTTTCATGCACTGTGGACTGGAATCAGTTTTGATGTGTGATAGATGTTGGCAAACACTCAACAGAAATGTAAATACATGATTTTGTTTGGTGGACTCCTTTCATTTTGAGGTTGTAAATTTTTATTTTAAAGGTAATAGAAGAGTTGCAGACAGCACCAGTGAATAATGAAGAAAAAGAGCTGCTTCAGCTGTTGTCAACACCACATCTCAGGGTAAAAACCACATTGGGGACCTTAAGGAGATGCCTTTGCAGAATTGTAATAGAACATTTTGTACCAGAAAAGTTAAATAGAATCCTCCCTAGCAGAAAGGAAGAACATTCTCCAAACTTCCATTGGGATTTCCTGCACAGACTTTAGGATGTGAAGGCAATTGAAAAAAGACAACTTTCCTGCATAAGGCACCATGCTGTTCTCCATTCTTCCCTTACTGTTTTCTGAGAGACCAAAAAAGAAAAGGAGAAGAAAAAGATACCTTCTTGCTTTTCATAGTCCACTTTTTTTTTTTCTTAGGCTGAGCTTTGTTGTTGCATGGATTTATTTTAAATAAATTCACATATACCAGTATATAGTTTACATGATGGGTAAGGTAATTGCTAAATCTTTTTTTTGGAGGATTTGAGTTGAGGGTAGAAAGGGGGAGGTTTAATTTTGCTGTAATACTGCAAGCATGAGAATGGGAATTGTAGTAAAACTCCATTACGTTTCTGTTTTTTGTTTTGTTTATGCAGGCAATGCTTGTAGTACATGACACTGTAGCACAGAAGAACTTTGACCCAGCTCTTCCACCTCTACCTGATAATTTTGATGATGATTTTGATGAGGAATCAGTGAAAATTGTCCGGCTAGTGAAAAATAAAGAACCCTTGGTACATATTAGATCACTCATCTCTAGTCATAAAACTTCATAGTGCAAGAGTGTTACTGTGAGTATGGAGGAGACAGTGCAAGATATCACCAGATACTCTTCAGAAACTTGGAGTGTTCTGAAGCTTGTAAATAAAAAATAATTTGGTAAATGATAAATGCACCTTGACAATTTTGCATTTAGATGCTTTATGGGCATAGTTTAGAGTGCCAGTTAGCAAACAGTATAGAAACCATATATTGAAGTAATTATGCTGATTATTTGTATTAATTCTTTTCATACTGTAGCTAATATTCAATGACTTAATGAATTCACTTGCATGACAGTCAGTGATGCATGGTAAGAGTATGTTTGATACCTGTATGTAAGCATTATATTGTCAAGGTCCTAATTTTATATAAGTGGAAATGGAAGAATTGATTTCCTAGGGAGAAACAGCTGTATTGGGAAAGAAATCTGCTTTTTGTGTATCACAATAGTAGAAGGGAGCAGTGAATTCCTGATTAAAACTTTGTATTGCCAGCTGAGGTAGGAGGAGGAAAAAAATCTAATTACTTGGCTTTTGTTATTTTTACATATAGAAGTGCTGACTGTGTTGTATAAAGATTCAGAAGAGGAAGAATTTGTTACAATAAGCTGTTTTGCACACTTGAGTGACTTTGACTGCAATAATGCAGGAAGTGTAAGCACTTAGCAAAGTCAGTAGAAAGAAAGGTGGATGCACCTTCCCATCATCACTTGGCATGGGCAAAACTTGAAAAATGGTGGAAATCATCTAGGAGAGAGGAAATCCATAGAACAAATTAATTCCATACATATTATTTCACTGGTTGCTGAATTCAGGCCAAATTTCTTACATTTTTTGGGGTGGGGGTATGTTTTATTCCAGGGAGCCACCATCAGAAGAGATGAACATACAGGAGCTGTGATTGTAGCAAGGATCATGAGAGGTGGTGCAGCTGATCGCAGTGGTATGATTGCACTAGAACATTTCTGACACTGCATCTGGAAACCTCTGAACCTTCCCAAGCATGCTCTTAGCATTTCTGAATTTCATCTGTAATCTCTTAATCTAATTTCATATGCTTTTTATTAAAATGGCCATCAGGAAAAAATGAAAACAGAGATGGAAGAAGTATGTTTAATCTTTAGATGAAAGCAAAGCATGTTTTTTTGCTTTTAATCTAGTAGCTTACTTTATTCAGTGTATCATGTTGTTTTCTGTTTGCTTTACTGAGAAATTATTTTATGTCAGTTAACAGTAGCTATATATGTGACAAATACAACATTTCTTATTGAACTGGATAAACAAACCTAAATCTTGTAGAGCCTCTTCATGGCTTGTAAAAAAGAATTTAGTCTTAACATTCTTTCAGTGAGTGTGAAGGATTAATCTGTCAGATGACAGACAGTGTCATTGCTGCCTTTATAGTCAGCACTGTGTCTCCTGGCTTCAGAAGAGCTGGTCACACTCATGAAGCTATTGCAGCTTTGCACACTTAATACTGATCCAAGTGGTGATTTTCCAGAGTACCTTGCCACAAGTTGCCTGTCTGCATGCTGCTCTCCTTTGAGACTGTGCTGCATGAAAGAAAAGTGCCTTAAGGAATAAGGGCAGGAGACTGAGGCACGTTCCCAGCAAAGGCACTTGGCTTTGGTACTAAATCCAGCAGTCTGCATGAGGGAGGAGAGGAAGTACATGCTGATGACTTAGGCTGGACATCAGAGGAGTGGTGCTTTCCAGTCTCTGGACCTATTTTAATTTACTTACCATCTTTTCAGGTCTTGTCCATGTTGGAGATGAACTAAGAGAAGTCAATGGTATTACTGTGCTTCACAAACGACCAGAAGAAATAAGTCAGATTTTGGTCTGCACTGATTTTCATTTCAAGATCTTTTCTGTTTGGTGATCTAGTAATTACAGTAGATGATAAAATTTAACCATGAGTTTAAAATATAGAGCTAAAAGATGCAATCCCTGCTTGTCTTTGCATTAAGAGTTTTTCTTCTCCCAGTGGATTAGTCTTCTCCTTTTGACTTCAGAAACTTCTGCGAACTGGATTGGTACCAAGTAAGATACAAATACAAAGTTAACATGTTGCTCTGTCAAGAACTTCCCTTTAATGCTTTGTTTATGACAAGCAAACTGCAAATTATAAATACATTCCTAGAAGATGATTGATAATGTATGTTAGGGAGCTGAAGAGAGTCTTGGCTGTGTGTTCAGTAGAGCTGTCAGTCTGTTCTGTACCAGCACATTCCTGGTGACAGGAGCAATTTCTTGCTTCAAGCTTATCTAACATGAGTAGCCACAAGTCTTGGTAGAAAGTTAAAGCTCTTATGCTCCTTTAGCCCTGGCTTCCTCCTTGTCGTGGTGTGGAGTGGAGTTAGGGACACAGTGAGGAGATTGGCATCAGTTCCATCACCTAATTTCAATTTGGATCAAATAATCCCAAATAATGCCAATGACTGATTTTTAACTTCGGGGGTGGGGGGGTGTCAAAACCGCTTTGAAATAGTGTGTAAAGTTTTATTTATGGGGATCTTGGGCTGCTATTTATCTGTCCTGTGTAATTTCTAATTACATATGTCCCGTGTGTGCTAATGCCTGAAGTGTAACATTTTTCTTTTCATGGTTTATTTTTTGAAGAAAAGCTACAAATGTTTGTCTGGTTTTGCATTTTAATCTGTGCAGAATTGCAGGCTTCTCTACAACAGTTTCATCTCATGCAAAATAAGGCATCTAAGACAGATAAGATAACCCCATTCTAGTTTTTTGAAGGACCTAGAAGTGCTTTTTAATTTACTATAACTAATAATTGTCATTTGCTAGCAAAGATTTCTAGAGTGAAAGTAGGTGTTTCTTTTGTAAATGCTTGCATTTCACTTGAACAAGTTAGCCCCTATTTGGAGAAAACACAGCAGTATTTTTCAAACCAGCACTTGAAAATTATTAGTCTGCAAAAGTTTAAGTCAGTGTTGTACTAAAAGCCACAGAGGTATTTAATGTCCTATGAACTGTAGCCTAGAAATTAATGCAATTGCTAAAAGCAAATGAGGGAATTTTAATGCAGGTCTTAATATGTTTTAGCCAAGGATGTCTCCATGGACAAGACACTGTTGTGGAGTCATGGAACATCCTGATAATGCAGTTAATTAGTGGATTAGCTTGGCCTGTTAGAGTTCTGAGAAGGAGACAGCTGCTAGCTCCTTAACTGAAGCTTGAATAGTCTGCATTATCTCCTTGTCCTGCTCTCAAACTTAAAACCCATTTCTGTTTTTCTCAGGCTCAGTCTCGAGGGTCAATAACATTAAAGATAATTCCAGCCATCAAAGAAGAAGATCGTCTAAAAGACAGCAAGGTATGCAGCAATCCTGGAGCTCATCTTTCCATCTCTGGAAATGCAGCAATCCTGGAGCTCATCTTTCCATCTCTGGAAATGCAGCATGCCTGCTCTTCAGTGTCACACCCCTGAGCTCCAAAGATAGGAGATGCTTTCTTGTGCACTTCCCTTCTGTTCAATAGAATTACTTGCATGACTCTTCTCCTCTCCATCTTTGCACACGTTTTTTTATAGCATTTCTGAAATCCTGCTCTTCTCTTTGGTTTGTGTAATTAAATTTGGTGTTCTGCTGTCTCCTCTCACCGTGGCAGCTGCAATCTGTCCATTATCTCTGGGCATTTTGCCACTCACTGGAGTGAAAGTGGAGCTGTGTACAAACAGCTGCATTCACCATGTGACCCCATCAGCCCATTCCATCTGCCCTACCTGACCAGCAATAACTTAATGCTGGACTGGTCCCTCATGAGATTCCTCTGTCAGTCTCTGCTTCCTGCTTGTGCTTGCTGAACTTTTCCTTGAAGCCCACAAAATTCTTTCCTTGAAGAACCACTTCTGAAGTGGTTCTGCTCTTAGGTGTTACATAGTGTTAAGATACAAATTCGAAGTTGAATAGTGGATTTTGATGCATTAAAGGAACATTTTAAGGACAGTCTTTACAACTGGGCAACTTTGCCATAAATCTATTTTTATTGTTTTCTCCTTCACCTTTTTTTTCAACCATTCCTTTATTGCATTTTGTACTTAATGTAGATTGTGATCTGTGTTTCTTGGAGCTCTGGTCTTTTGAGTCTCATGTTCCACAATTCTATATATTATTATATTATATTCACAATTCTATAATTACTGAGTATGTGCTGGAAAGTTAATTTATTTTTCTGCATAAGCTGCTAGGTGTCTGTGTTTTGAGTGCTTGAAGGAGGGGTAATGTGTATATACAGTTAGCAGTGTTAGCATTGAGGAAAGCATTTTAAAGACAAATATTTGAAATTCCAGACGGGACAAGAAGAAATGACATGTTCATTTTCTTTTCGAGGTGTTTATGAGGGCACTTTTCTGCTATAACCCCAAAGAAGACAGAGCCATTCCTTGCCAGGAGGCTGGGCTGCCCTTTAAAAGGCGACACGTGCTGGAAGTTGTGAGCCAGGATGACCCCACGTGGTGGCAAGCCAAGCGTGTTGGGGATACCAACCTCAGAGCAGGCTTGATCCCCTCCAAGCAGTTCCAAGAAAGGTTTGTCAGCAAAGATTACAGATTTTTCTTTTTCTTTCCCCTGTATATAGTGTCACTATATTGATTTATTGATTTTGTGCTGGGGTTTTTTCACAGAAAATGAAGGGCATGGTCATGCCAGGGTAAATGGAGCTGCTCAGGGGAAAGTGCTAAAAAGCTCCATCTTCTCTAATTATAGAATAAACTTCCTAGCTTGATTTGGGTGTTTTTCTCTGTTTTCACAGCAAGATATGTGTACCTTCTAAAGCAAAAATATCCCTCAGTTCTTGTCTTTCCAGTACAGAAATCCTGTATTTGAAAGGGAATCTGTTTTAAGCCACTGGTCCCACTTTGTGATTCTTGCTGCAAATCACAATAAATCTCTTCTTTGGGTTGTAGGTGTTCAATCTAACAATTGAACAGGCCTGATGCTGTTGCTGGCCTGCATGATTTCCATAAGGTTTCTGGTTGAAGTCTTGGCTCCACTGCATGAGAGCTCCTGTGAAACATTAGGCAAATTCTGCCTCAGCAGCTGTTTCCTTCTTCCTAGGCATGCATATATTGCAAAAAATGCTGCTGCACTGCAGTCTTTTTAATATTTTGGACATTGTAAACATGTGAAAAGATGTACATAGGACTACAGAAATTGTTTCAGTGTCTGTTTCCCCTGAGGGACTGTATAAATGCCTGAGCAGCATCTCCTGTCTGTTATAAATATTGCAAAAAAACACTTGGGAGGAAATTGTGGCTTCAGTTGCCAACAGTGAGGGGATTCTTGAGGGTTGGATTTTTGTGCTGGGGTGTTTTTGGTGTTAAGTTTTGGTGAGAGAAGTTGAGCAAATAGGAATTGTAATCTGGTTTGTGGTTTTAACACTTAAGAAAATTTTACTTGATACTCTGTTGTTACATTTTCACACAAACTGGGTAACTTGGTTCGTTTACATAACAAATAACAAATAAACTGTAATAACAGAAAAACTTCAAACTAACCTGGAGAAAGGTGGGTAATTTCTACATAAGCATAGCTGCAATGCTTTGGACAAAGGTTATCTACTTTTCTTAGTGTTGAAAAAAAGATCATGTGGGCAAAAGAGAAATAGAAAAAAAACTGGATTGATAAACGATTGATTTCTGTGCTCTGATATAGGAAAGCATAAAATGTTTAAGAATCTTTTCATTCATTAGCAGTAACAATCTGACACTGTCATAGTTTTAAATAAAACCTTTTAAATAGTTGAATCAGAGACATTTTCAATTTTTTAAGGAAAAGCACTATTTAATTGTTTATTTTCCATGCTATAAATTCTCTATAATTCAGAGTTTACATATCTAAAATCGAATGATTTTCTGTTCAGACGACTGATCTACAGGAGAACAACAGGCACTCTGCAGAATGCCAGAACTCTGAAGAAACCATTGTGTAAGTTTGTTCTGTTCTCTCAGTGATGTTTTAATTGGTTCTAAGTTCTCAGTATTTGTCTGTTATTTCAATGCTGGTGTGTTTGAGTGCATTTCACACTGACTGGCATTTTGAATCCAATCTGCCTTTGGTTGATATGCATTCACACAGGCTGCCACAGGGGAGGGTTTGGGTTGGAGTTTTATCCAGTGTTGCTACTGCCTATGGATTTCAAAAATCATTTCTGTCCCTCTCTTCCTGCTCTCAGGAACATGAGGCCTTACATATTTAGATGCCTCAAAATTTGCTACTGGTCACATTTTATCTATGGTTTGAAACTGGAAAGCTGCAAAAATAATCTAATGCATGTATGAGTGCATGGAACTACTCTAAACTGATATGAAAATAAAGTGTAGCTATAAGGAGGATAAAAATACAATCTGTATTTCAGGCTTAATGTTACAGGGCTGGTCTGAAGTAGACTTGAGAGTGATTGTTGTTTACAGCTCTGCAGTGTGTGTCACTGAATTATTCACAAAACCTCTGCTTGTGAGGAAATTGCTAGGAAGAGCTGGAAAGCAGAAGATGCTACAATTATCCCAAAATGTGTTTCTGTTGTTCTTGGGTACTTCAGCACAGGCACTGTTGATATGGGGGAAGCCAGGATTGTGCAAGGATTCTGGAAATGGTCCCTTTTGAGCAATAGAAGTGAATTTCTGCCTTTGGTGCATGATGGGATACAGGTACTCTTGTGCTGCAAGGAGGGAAGATGCTTGATCAAGTTATAAAATAGCATTCCTGATTAAAATGAGGCTTTTCCAAATTAGTTTCCATTACACTCAAATTAGGAGGCATTAATGAGGAATGCTGCTGAAGCTTTACCTCAGATGTTTTTGAGACAGTTAGGCTGATAACTGGTTTTAATAACTCCATTTCAGCCCAAAACTCTTTAATCACTTGATAAGGGTACTGGATTGCAGGACTTTCTTTAAGATAGAAAAGCCTGTTAAGCAAATTAAACCAGAAGAACTTTCCTTTCCATTGTCTGTAATTTTGCTCAATTATTTGTCAGTCTTTTAATATCATTCCAACTCTGCCTTTCATGCTAACTGTAGATGATCAGTCTTCTGACAAAGGTAGGTGCTCTCCTGACTCACTTTCTGTCTGAATATAAACAACCAGTGTAATTTCTAAAATACTTGCTATGATTCCAAAGGGAACAGTAGATATATTGTTCCTAGGACATTTTATTTGTGAATTATTATTTAAACTATTCTAATTCAGATTGATGACTTAAGTAATAGTAACTTCCAAGTTTGCTTCAGATTCAAGAGAAGAGATTTACATGTTCTCTAGGTTCCTGAGTGAGGTTCAAAGACTTGCAAGTTAAATACAGTCTTTCATATGTTCAAAAAACAAAGAAATATTGGGGTTTAATATTTTAGGGCACCCATGTCAATCCTAAGTGATTTGTCTTCATTGTTCATTTGGGCTGTTTTCTGTTCTTTCATTATGAGCAGCTCTGTTGGGCTTGTGCAGTTTGTGTGTCATGCACCAGCTGCCTTTCCAAATATCAGGTATTTCCTGTTGAATTTCATATGCTGAGATTTTTTTTTCACATTACAGTTGCTTGTTGATATTCATATTCCAAGTGTTAGTATTCCATTGACTTGGATGAAAGTACTAATCATCTTCTGTAATTAGAGTATAGCAGTCATGGCCAGCTGTCAGAGCACAAGTCTGAAAGAGCCTGCCTGGAACAGCAGAAAATAAACAAAAAACCCAGCTCTGATCTTAGCTATGGATTGATGTCATTGCTATTTGTATTTTTTCTTAATGCAGGCAGGATGTTTTGGGAGTTGGCATTGCTGGATTCCACACCTGCATGCATTCACTGAAAAACAAAACCCTCTCAACTGGCACCTTTGCTTAAAGGTTTAAGTGCTGTGAATTTTTGCTTATGGTTGGGTTTATCCCATACACCACCACCTCAAAATGAGTAGAGTTCTGTGAATATTGCAAGGGCACAGGTGCCTAAATGTTAACAAACTCGGCATCCCTCTTTCAGGAAGTGTGAGAACTCAGTATTTGTTTTAGGATTGCAGTGTATTTTTTTGCAGCTAAGTATCATGGTTTTATTGCATGCACATTTCAGGGGTTTTGGGGTGGTTGTAATTAGAGGAGGGACAGGTTGGGGCTGTTTTTAACATGTTATTTTACATACATGCATATGACCAAAGCATCAAATTTTCTTTTTAAAATAAAGAATTAATAAGCACTGATAATTTAACTTGGTCAAAATGAAGAGGGTTAGAGTTCATCTTTGTCATTTCTGATTCCCTTTTCTCAAGCCCAAATGATAATGAAATACCAGAAGAAGCCATTTTCTTACATAACTGTACTCATTTATAAAGTTATTCATTTAAAAAAAAAAGATCTGTGTGTTTGTGGAGTCTTCTTCATTACTTAAGCCTGAGTATCATACTTTGACCAGCAGCACTAATCAAATGTCATGAATGCTGACAAGCTTAAACTCTGGGAACTGTAAATACCAAGATGTAAAATTCTCTAGTTCAATATCAAAGTCAAGGATTTTTTCAGATATAAACCACTAGCCAAGGCAAATATTTCTCTGATACAAGCAGTGATTAAGTTTAAAAAGTATGTGCAAACAATGCAGGATATAAAATTTCTTTCCTTGCCCATGAGCCAGATTTGTATCACACACATTGCCTAAAATATTTCCTTCCTCCCTCTCACTCTCCTTTCCCCTGTGCCCTACCCCCACTTCCTTGCTTTTTAATTTACAGAAGACTGTGACTGTGAAGGATATTTCAATGGACACTACATAGGTGAGTAACCAAAACCCTTTACCTGTTCCCTAGCACACCCACCCCAAAAAAACCCAGAACCAAACTGAAAACAAAACACCCCACCAAATAAACCCCCCCCAAAATACCCACCTCCACATTAAAAAATTAAAACTGGACTATTTAAATTAATTTCCCATGCATTCATAAACTGGATTATCTCCTTGAAGAGTCATAATCTGACTTTGGCATAACCAATACTTGGCAGCTAAAAGTTGTGAGGGGGATTTTATTACAGATTGGGTGTTAGATTTTCTATCCCATATGCAAATATTTCTCCTATAATCTGAGCATATATGCACTGATTTGATTATTAATGACATTTGTGGGAATAACTCACATTTGAAGACAATAACTTGTAGCTGAACAAGCTTGAAAATCCATCCAAGTGGGGACATGTGAACGTCTCTGGTTTTTGCACAGCTGGTTTACGCAGGAGCTTCAGGTTAAGTCGGAAAGAGAAGGAAAATGTGAACGAGGGCAAACAGGGAGAGCAAGACACAGCAGAGCTGCTGACATATGAGGAAGTCACAAAATACCAGCAGCAGCCTGGTGAGCAGCAGAGGCTGGTGGTTTTGATTGGTGAGTTACCACTTGGTTCAAAGTTTTCATATTTCTCATTCTTCTCTTATTCTGCACTTCCCAGAGGCTTTCTTTAGATGCTTGGTTTGGGGGGTTTTGTGGTTCTGGTGGGTTTCTAAAAATGTTTTTCTGTTTGTTTTTTTTCTGTCAGAACTCACTCTTTTATTTTAAATTACATTAAAAAACAAGCATAAAAAGGAAAAAAAAAAAAAACAAGGAATCAAACTCTCCAAATCTCAAAAAATAATGATGCAGGACTATTTCTCATTTTTCTGATTCATTTTCCCTTGGTTTTTTACTCCAGTGTTTGCTTAGGCTGTCAGAACTATTGATGAAGAGGCAGATGTTAGACTTATCTAACAAGATTTTTCATGCATTTTTAATTCAGCTTCTCAGCCTTGGTGCTAAGCCAGTTTCTCAGGATGCACTAAAATTCAAGAGTATCTCATAGACCTGACTGCTAAGATCACAGATTTCCTGATTTAGGGTCTGCCAGGTGATTGTCCAGCAGTTGTTCACAGAATTAAATTCATTCCTGATGATAATCTTCAAAGCAGAGTAGGTCATGAGTTCTCTCATGAAGAGGTTTCATCAAGAACACTCCTGAATCATATTATTGGTGTGAAACTGATCCAGTTCTTTCCTGTAGTATTTCATTTCCCACAGAAATCTATCAGTCAGTTTTGTTTTATTTTATTTTATTTTATTAGGTTGTTTGGGAGCCAAGTTAAGTGAGCTCAAGCAAAAAGTTGTGTCAGAGAACCCCCAGGAGTATGGTGTTGCAGTTCCACGTGAGTAAAATTTCCTGACTTGTGTTTGTTGCATCTTTATTCCATAAATGAAGTTTATAAAATTCCATGAATTCCATGTCTAATGAATGTCATGCCATCTGCACTAATGATAATTTGTGTTCTGACTATTGATTAGATGCATATTTCTGGAGTACTTCAGATTTTTCTCATTGTAATATGCTATGTTTGCCTTTAACAGGTGAATAAATCATTATGTAATTTGGCATTTCTGCATTTTGGAATTCTGTCAGCTCAGTGAGGTTTTCTTGAGTGGGCAGATTACATTTTCTCAGTGTCTGTTAAAAGAAAAACTTAATACAGGAGGAAAAAAAGGAATGTGACTAGCAAAGAGGCTGGTGTGATAAACCAGGATCTTAAAAGTCAGCCAGAACATTGTGTGTTTGAAAGAGAGTGACTTTGCTTGAGAACAACTACAGCTGCAGTTAAAAAACAAAAAAAAAGGCAGACAGCAATAAACCAAGCCAAAATTTGGGCACGATTTGAAGTTGTTGATTAGTGTATCTAGGTGTTCAAACAAGCAAGTCAAAGTAAGACAGAAATCAGTGATTCTTGCATGGCTTTGTGCTAGAGTTACACTGAATTTCTTTCACTGGATTATTTTCTTTAAAAAAAAGGATTTATCAGATACACAGATAAAAAAAAATTCATTATCCATTATTCCCCAACAAGCTATTTTTTGAATCCACTTTTTATATTAAGACCTTTAAAAAAAAAAGTTTTTCAGGCAGACTTCAGTAAGTTAGCAAAAGAATTCAAATGAGTAATTCCTACTTGAATTTAAACACACAAAATATAGCAGACATTACTTCTATGGTCTGGCATAAACTTGCAGAATGATCATCAAAGCTTCTCCTATAGCAATAACAAGTGCAAAAAGAAATTACACCAAAAGCAAGGGACTCACATAATTATGCACACAGGACCTTGGGCAGCAGCCATCAGTATTCTTCCTGTAAATTCAAAGGCAGCATAATAGGACTTTATATATTTCCTTGTTTTATTTTTCAGCTTTCCAAGAAAATGAGAGTCCAGAATTCCAGTTACATTGTTCTCTGTAGAATATACTCTGCTGCCTCTACCAGATGTAAAAAAGATGCTTCCTAAATTTTTTTGTTAGTTACAGCACTCCTGGGAGCAAAACTACATCATTTTTGGTCATGCAATATTTGAGATGGAGTTTAAAACAAAATTATATGATCTGATTTATATTTTGTTGATTTGAATTTGTCACTGTGTAACTTCCTTTTTTAAAGTTGTGAAAATATGACTGGAACTAAGTAGAGAAGAAAATGTTTGCAAAGGCTGATGTGTCTCCCGTGTCTTGCTTCCCTTCTCTTCTAGATACAACAAGGTCAAGGAAAAGTCATGAGAGAGAGGGAGTAGAATACAATTTTGTTTCTAAGCAATCATTTGAGACAGATGTGCAGCAAAACAAGTGAGTTAATTTTAAAATACTGCTATAATTGACTGTTTTAAAATACTGCTTTTACAATCACCTGAATACCAAACTCAGGTGACAAGTTGGACGAGCTGTATTAGAAGGGTTCAGCTTTTCTAAGTAGGAAGCTCTTTATGGAGTCTGGACTGTTAGAACAAACTCAGACTTTAGCTGGAAACAATTTAGGAATAACATTAGGAGGAGCATCCCGAGTTAGAATTTAAGCCTGACTAAGTCTTATGGTTGGTCAGAATTAAATCTACTGCAAGTAACACATACTGGATAGGGCCTGCTCACTCTGTTTAATATGATGGGTAAAAGGTTTTATTCCCAAGTGTCCTTGGAGTGAACCTGTAGTTAACCAGACTTTCTGTGAGCCCCGGGTGTTTCCACAAAGTTCAGATCTTTACTCCCAGAAGATGGGAGAATTGCAGTTCATTTCCTTGCCACCTTTGTTCTACTTTCTGTGAAAAGTATCCTTTCCTCTCCCCCTTTTTGTCAGTAGTGCTGATCAGTGATATATGCAGAATTGCTACTAGGCAAGGAAGTGGAAAAAAAATAAAAAGAAATCCCTCCCCACCCACCCCCAGTTTTCTGCCTCTCTCCTCCCTCTTGGACTGCTGGGAGTTCAGGAAACAGCTATCAAATGTTCTAAGTTAAATATTCTTCATATTGTTTATAGATGGTATTTAAAAATGTATTGACTTTTTAGATTTGTGGAACACGGAGAATACAAAGAGAATTTGTATGGTACAAGTCTGGAGGCAATCCGCTCTGTGATGGCCAAAAAGAAGGTTTGTTTGGTGGATGTGGTTCCTGAAGTAAGTTCTGCAGCTTATTTTAAAGGATGTAAATATGATTTACTGCTGCCTGAGCAGAACAGGGCTCTTGGGAAAGCAGTGCAGTGCTTACAGTTCCTACATTTCCAGCCTGGATGTCTCTTCAGGAATCCTCACTGTGGGACTTTTCCCTTGCTCTAGGACCCATGTGCCCCCCTGTCCCAGCCTGCTCAGGTCCTATACTCAGAGCAAAGTTGTCTTTTTCATTCTAGCTGTGATTTTAAAAATGCTGGCCATAACACACCCACCCGAGGCTCTCATGTGTAGGATCTCCAAGATACAGTAGCAGTTTTTGGGACAGATAGGGAATGCAGTGACATCCTGAATCACCCCAGGACACCAGCACTGTAAGCAGTGCCAGAACCCCTGCTCTTAATACCTGCATGCTGTGAGTTCGTACTTGAAATGTTGATCTTGATTTTGCAACTGGGCTAAGAAAAGTCATGTGGTACTACCTCAGATAAATTCCAAGTTTAAAATTTGCATTGTTTGGCCACTTAGGCAAAGCAAACCATAATTTGCCCATGAAGTCAGGGGTTTTTTTTACACTTTCCTCAGTATTTTTTGCCATGTCCTTGCCCCTTGGAATCACAGTGCTGTTCAGCCATGCTCCATGCACTCGTGTAGCCAGGACACGGGCATGAGCTCTGTTTGCACGTGCAGGACACAGGGCTTCACAGCAGGCTGTCAGTCTGAGCCAGTGAAACTGCTGAAAGCAGTTTGAGTCTGTCACTGACATTTAGCAAAAACATGTCTGGTAACAAAAATCATCTGTTCACAGGCTGTAAAGCACTTGAGGACTCCTGAGTTTAAGCCTTATGTTATCTTTGTGAAGCCTCTCATTTCAGAAAAGAAAAAACATGTCTTAAAATCTCACATGTCAGAAGAAATCTCATCCCCTCTTGTAAGTATTCCAACTTCTAATCTCTTGTTTTTAGACATGAAGTATTTGGGCTAGCACTTTATTACATGAAACAGCTCCTCTTGCATAACAAGAGTTAAAGTGGGGCACTAAGTAGGTCCTGGAGCCTTTCAGATGGAACTTCAGAATGGAATTTTTGGTTCCTTATATACTCCAGTTTTAAAGTAACATGAAGCCAAGTGCCAGTCTTCCATGTGGATCTGGGTACATCATCGAGGCTGCAGCAAGGGAAGTTGCTGCTGAACTCAGATAAACCAACAATCATTTTACATTTCTGCTGATTTACATTCTACATTTCATCGAATGGTAATGGTTATTATAATGGCTATTTCTTTACCCCCAAAGTGACACCACACCAGTGTCAGCCAGTGTTTTAATGGGGTACACTCAGAACACTATGTGGATGTCTTAGGACATTAGATTTGTGCAGATTGGTGATAGAGTGCATAATGCCATTCCTTTGGTAACCTGAACTTAAATTTATATATTACAGAACTTAGTTCACTTGGTAAGTTTTTGTGTAAGCCCTCAAAATACTGAACTTGGGACACTGTATGCAGCATTCCTTTTCAATTTTTGAGTGTGGTTCCTGTATCTGGGGTTAGGCAACAATTCTTAACTACATAAAATGAAGCATCACCATTTTATGTCCCTCCTGTAAGATATTTTCCTCCTTCCCTGAGGCCTCTTTTATTTTTTGGAACAGCTGCCAGTAGCATACTGCTCCTTGATCTCAGTTTTAATTTCTTCAGTACCTTTTGCTAATGGTAGCAGCTTTTGTTACATGTTCTCAGAGTAATGACTCATTGTGCTAATATCCTTTAAAATGCTAATAACCAGGACATGCTGGAAAATTCATTCCAACATCTTGTGTTGATCAGCAGGATGAAGAACAGCAGGAAATTATTAATTCAGCAGCATTCATTGAAGAGCAGTATGGCCATTTAATTGACACTGTACTGGTGAAAGAAGATCTCCAGAGTGCATGTAATGAGCTGAAAAGTGTGTTAGATAAATTAAACAAAGAATCATTTTGGGTGCCAGTCAGCTGGGTTAGGTCATAGCTTGTTACCATGTTTAAGGGAAAGATTGTATAAAAATGTTCTGTAAATACGTGTATTAGAAAAGGGAAATGTGTTGAATTTGCTTCAAAACTGCTGGTCTTACCTAGAAGGCAATAAATAAACAAAGACTGTATGAGGAAAGACCAAACAAAGTCACAAGCTGCCACTGCCTTTCTGAGTCGAAATTTTGAATAGCAGCTGTCATTTAGAAGTCAATACTCAGACTGAATAAGCCAGTCCAGTCTTCTATTGATCCTTAGACTGGAAATAGTGCATTTTGTGCTGAGACACAGAAAGATGGAAGGTTTGTCCTTTGGCCACAGTTCTAGCCACAGATTTTGTGGCAAGAGTTAAAGGCTCAGAATAAAGTCCCCCTTGGGAAGAAGCTCCTTCAGCTGGGTGGGAAGTGTTCTTTGGACTCTGGTTCCACCATGCCAGTTACTCAGAACATCAAGAGGCTGGCTGGCCAGCAAAACCTGCTTCCCTTCACACAGCATTAATTGCAAATCCTCTTAGGCACTAAAAACTAGGCCAGCTGTAGAGGGGATTTTTTAATGTCCATCACATTTCCCAGTTGTCTTGCACAGGTCACAGGTATTAGTCTGCTCATGCACAACTTATGCCCACTTTTCCCAGTCACAAATGCTAAACAACCTGTGAGTGTACCTGTGTGACTGGCCAGCTCATAAAACACAGGTTTTTACAGTGTACATGAAAACAACAGCATAGGGCTCTAAAACAGGGCAGTTAAGAAGCTTTGTTTCTGCAAAACATCTTTGCCTGTGCTGGCTGGTGAGACACAGCCTTGAACACCAGTGGAACAGCTCCAAAAGGGCACTACAAGGAGGAGCTACAGGTCAAAATCACCATCCTTCCAGCATTTATGACTTCTGCTCCAAATCTGGTAAAGGTTTCTAGAGTATCTAATTGGCCTGAAGAAGAAAACTGTTAGAGGACCATGTGTATATTTGAGGTGACTTGAATATACAGGATTGTTGAATGGGTCTTAGGAAGATGCAGAGATGATTCTGGAAGTAGCTGTGCTTTATACTTGGGGGATTTAAGGAGAGAGCATTGTACAGGTGCATGTGAGCTGTAACTACTTCCTGTTTTCATTGCCTGCTGGGGTCTGTTATTTCCTGTGTATTGTGCCCTTTAAACAAGACCTTCTGGTGTGCCAGTCTTGTTCCTTGTATCTTAACACTATAATGTTATTCTTGTTCCATGCCATTTAGCAGAACTAAAAGTTGCATATTAAAAGCACATTTCTTATATACCAGTGTCACTGAATCTATATTATGTCAAGCCCAAAAAGTTGTGTACAAGAGTCACCCCCATCCATCCTCCCCAAATGGAAACTTTCATGTGTGGTCCTGCCTGTGGGCATTGAGCTTCTGTTCCCACTGCTACAAAAACCAGAACTTTTCCCAGTCAGGTCCCTGCACTTGTCACTGCTGCAGCCTGGTGGCTTCAGCACTTGCACAGGGATTCCTCCACGTGCCCTGGGCTGTCAGCTCTGCATGTGCCAGCACAGCCACCAAAAGGGATTTGGCTTCTTAGAGAGGCAATTTGGGACAGATGTACCTTGATCCTATGAAAAACCGAGTGAAATATTTTAAAAACTATTCCAGTAAGAGCATTTCAAACTAAGTTATTTTATGAAAATAATAAATGGCCAGATTGATCTCACCCTAGGTCGGTATTACAAACAGATCTTTATAGTCTGTAAGACAAACATATTTAGATGATTCAGATTTAAGTTAAAAAGTTAAGGGTCAGAATTTATTTAAAGCAAGGTTCCTATAATAACATCTTAAAATATTTTGAATGACCAGCAGTAAAAAAAGCTATGTTTGCTTTATGATCTAACAGTAGAAATCTGCATTAACAGAAACAAGGCACAAGTTACATACAATGTACACCTTAAATTTTCAGTTATTTTAATGTAAGCTAACAAAATACAGTATTGCTATTAAAAGTGTAAAAGACAAAAAGGTAACTTCATCGTGGGATTGGTGACAGACAGACTCATCCTCGTGGAAAGCCCCAAAGGCAGCACATTTTCTATGAAATTGAAAATGAAATTTATTACCATGGCTGAGGGTTTGCAGAGAATCACAGCGACTGCAAAACCACAGCCATGGTGTGAGGCAGCCCAAAATGAGGAGTGCATTTCATCCCTGATGCTCAGTGCAAAGAGAACAGCACAGGGGCAGCTGCAGGGGAACAGGGGGGGTTTTCCTGACAAGTGTTAAAAGGTGCATCCTCTTCCTGGAACCCTAAAATTAACCAGGAACTCAGTTTACTGTCTGGGGACATGGAGCAATTTTGACTTTTAAAAAGCATCCAAAGCCAGGAAACTGCCCACAGCTCAGGGTAACTCCTGGTCAGTAACTGCATTCAGGTAACTTGGGTGTCTAAAAGCCTCCCATGCCTTGCCAGGGAAGAGAAGCTTCTCAATAATATTCCAGAATATTCCAGAATATCACCTTATTTGTGCCAAGGCAGGAATTCCAGCAGAAGTCCATGTTGAATGTCACACAGCAGGAGCACAATACTCTAAGCAGCACTGTGATTTAATAGTGAAAAATCTGAGAGCTACCAGAAAAATATCTGCAGACAGCAGCTGTGCAAAAGGGAAGGAGACACTGGTTTTTGTTAATAATAAAAATGTACTTTGCTAATGAGTTTGTGTTTTGGATCTGCACAACTGATGCACATCAAACATGGCACAGATTGGTGCTTGGAATCCCAGCCCCACCCCTTTTGTTTTTCATGTCCCCTCCAGTCAGGCAGAGCAGCCACCTGCACATTTAAACGAGTGCACAGGAGGCAGCACATAACCCTTTCCTCTGCTGTGCTGAAGATTCCATGAGCTGGACTCCCTTCTTCCCTGTGCTCTCATCCCCAAGACCTGGAGTCTGCAGGATCTTTATGACCAGTTCCTCAAAGGCACATTGCACTCCATCCTGTGTCTTGGCACTGGTCTCTGGAGGAAGGGGAAAGATTATCTTATTTGCAGGAAGTATATTCCACTTAATAAAAGTTTATTTTGGGACCAGAGAAAAGATGGGAGTTTTTTAATGAGTGAACCTCCTCTCCATTCTCTCTTAAAGGTACACTTAAGTTGAATAGGACAAACAGAAATACATCCCAGTCTGAAGTATCACATTTTTCCACCTAGAAAGAAATCCACAGTCCCCCATTTTCTCCAAAATGGAGAAAAAGAAATTGTTCTCAGGTTGTGACAGTAAATCTAGAAGACAGTTATTCCACAACAAAGCTGAGAAACAAAGAATAAAGAGGGCATTGCATATTGTCCCCTATGTGTTTCAGTTTCTCCTAGAAATCTTTTCAAGATTTCTCTTGAAACTCAGTTTGTTCCCCACCTTTATATCTTCACATTGTACATTTTATTGTTGCTCTAAGAATATTGTCTTTTATGTAGCTGCAACAGAAACCTGGAAATGAAAGATCAGCCAAGGTCCTTGCAGACATCAGTAAGGAGGAAAATTTCAGTCTTCTGGGCTCTGAATTCAAAAATCCTGCTAGCTTCAAGAGAATATAAAATTCATGCCTGTACAGTATAGCAGTAAATCTGTTTCAGAGAAAAGTGCTTCTAGTTGCAGTCAGTGCAGAAGCTCAAACCTTCATCCCTGCCTATGAATTCCAGCAAAAGGAACCCATATTGATTAAGTATTAAAAAAAAGCTAGCAACCCATCAACCTGAAATACAATTGTACATTCATGCTAGGCAATACCAAAATAAACATTTGATTACAGAGGTTTCTGTCCCAGAGGTGCATACCTATAAAAAGCAGGGAGTGTTTCCTAGCAAGCTGGAGCCCTTCATTCCTCTCCACTTCTCGATCAGGCTGCAGAGACAAATGAAGAACATGACTGAAATAAGCTGCACTTGCCACTTCAAAAAAGCACCCAGAAAAGCACCACTGCAGAAATGAAGTTTTGTTGAAAGGAAGAAATGTCTGCAATATGTATAAATCAACTGGATTTTCCCACTTCATAGCTCACTGCCAGGGCTCAAGCTGAACAGCAGCAACATCAAACCACAGAATGTCCTGAGCTGGAAGGGACCCACCAGGATCATCCAAGTCCAACACCAGGTGCCAAATCAGCAGGAAAGGAATGGAGCTGTGTTCTGAATCAACCAGAGGCAAGATCCATGCCAGAAAGGCCCAGCAGTCAAGTCCAAAAGGCTCACAAAGGTTCTGAAACTGAGCACACTGGGAGGGGCAGAGAACCCAGCTCAGGAGAGCCACGCTGGAAATCTCTTGTTGCAAGGCAAGAGCAAGAACCTCACTGTGCAAGAGGCATCCAGATGTGTCAGAGCAGCCCAGAAACAAAAGCATGGAGTGCCCCTCAGAGCCACAGGGATGGCCCCTGCAGCCATGCCCAGAGCTGAGCTCCCCTTCCCCACCACCTGTCAGAGCCTGGTCACAAAGAAAGCAGCAGTTTTTCCTTTACCTGTGCTGCAGGTAAGTTCAGTGTTAGACAGCAGTTTTTGGGCAGACCCTTGCAGCATCTTAATGGAATCTCATCAATATCATCTCTCCAGGAAAGCTTCCATTAAAATCTTTAACAATATCTGCTTCTAAAATGACAGAAGTGGAGCCTTCCCAACTCAGCTGCAGAGTAAATGACCTCCTGACACAACAGTTGTGTTACTTACAGCACTTACCTCACCTTTACACACTGTGGTGAATAAATAATCCAGGGAAAAATGTAAAAGGATGCATCCCCAAACTGACCTTATCGATTTTATTGCCAACCAGCATCTTCACAGTGTTGCTGCTGGTGTACATTTCCAGCTCCTTCAGCCACCCTCCCAGTCCTGTGAAAGTCTCTTTTCTTGTAACATCATACACTGAGAACAGAGGAAAAGGAGCTTTACAGCTGTACAGTCTTGGACAATGTTTCCTTCATTGTGACAGAACTTAGTCCACACTTCCTAACTACAGCCTGGAAAAAAATAAAAGGTTCTAGGGAACTACAGAAAGAGGCACCAAGCACACACTCCTGCCAGAGCTGGAACACACCAGGCTGTGCTCACCCAAAGTCACTTGGGGATTACAGAACACAAGCACCTCTGTGAGTGAAAAATCAGATTTACCAACAGAAATATTCTACCTGTTGGTAGAGCTAAACTGGGCCACACAGAATATTTTAATATAGGGATTTTGTCACCTAATTTTATGTGTAAGTACATGCACACATTGCTGCTAAAAACATGGACTGAGTTAAAAGCAACTTTTGGGCACTGGTAACTTAATAATAACTGTATTTACATAAATCACTACAGTTTAAAGATCAGATAAAGAATACTTTGTACACCAAAGTTAAGGTTAGCCTTCACAAACCCTGAAATTAAAAATGCCTTTGTTTTCTAATTGCTGTTGTCACGCAGGAAGGGCTCAGCCATCCATTGTCCGTGTACAAACCTCAAATCTTACCATAATCACAACAACCAAATCCATAGTTTCTGGGAAAAAAAGAAGTAAAACATCATGGGGAAAAGAACACAGCACAACCCCTGATTAGCCTTATTACCAGAAAACCACCCAAGTAATAACTACAAGGCTAATAATTTATTATAATAAGATGTCAGATGTCAGCATGACATCTCTTTTTAATTTAAAATTCTTTGAAGCAGCAGCATTTCCTGCCAGTGGTTTAGCTAATGAGCAGTAATGTTGTAAAAACCATAATTATTCCTCTGATTATCTTGGATAACCTCCTTTTGCCAGGACATGCACATTTAGGAGAAATAAAGACCACAATTCCTGAAATCATGCTTTTCTTCCATTGATTTCATACCTAAAACAACTCCTTGAGCTGCTCGGTAGTAACTGGGGGTCAGTGCTCTGAAACGCTCCTGTCCTGCTGTGTCCTACACAGGGAGGGGAAAAACCCCAAACACATATCATCAAATACATTCAGAACAAAAAAAAAAAAGTATTTTAAACTAAACAAGATGAGCAAATTTAAAATTATCCTGAGCAGTAAGGACACATGAAACATTATGATGTGAGAATGAGGAAAGCAGGCAGAAAACAGCAGCAGCAAATGGTGAAGGAGTGGGAGAAAAGCAGGAAGAGGACTTGACTGGAAGTAAAAAGGATAAACAGACACCTGTAACATGAGAGAGACAACAGGAAAGTACAAAAGACTCGAGAGAAATACAGAAAAGGCAAGCAGCCACAGAGATGGGTTTAAAAACAGCTGAGCTGAATGAGATGAGGAATAACTGATTTTCTGCAGGGAGACAAGAGAGTTTCCAGACATCTCCCTCTGCTCCTTTGCCACAAGACAAACCTAGTTAGAACTTCAAGGCTGCTACAAGCCTAAGTAGGTAAGAAATTAAAAATCAGTAGTTTCATTCAGTTATTACTGCAGTATTCTCACTTAAACTCATGAATAAGGAAGAAAAGCGAGGTACTAAGTTCAATATGAAATTCAAAAAGACCCTCAAAACAAACAGTAAGGAGGAAACAAATCACACAAATGTTATTTTTTTTTTAAATTTATTTCCTTTCATGTACAGCTTACAATTGACAGACTAACAGCTATATTGTAATTAATTTATTCTTTGTTAAAAAAAAAGGAAACTAAAATTGGGAATATACTTACCTAATCTGATTCATTGTTAACTAGGGAGATTGTACTTTAGTCCCAATTACTTAATTAGTAATAGCATTTTCCTTCTCAAATACCTATGACCACACACATAAAATCTCTCTTTCCTAAGGCTCTTTCATTCCACTTAGACGAATTAAATGTTTGTTTTATATTACAAAAAATCCTGATCACACAGCTGCAATCAGATCTCAGTCTGCAGATGCTGAAAATACAGCATCACTAAGTTCAGGACAAATATTTGAGTTTCCCAGTAAGTCTGAATCAACATTTAAATAGTTCAAGAAGAAGTTTGTGGGGGGTTTTGGCATGATTTTAACCAGAATAAAGCATCACACCGAGTTGTTCCACAGCCCCTAGAGGCAATGAGCCGGCTCATGACCCACAGCATCATTTTTCTCTGTTTACTCATAGATGTGCCCCTGGCTCCTGCAGGCACGGCACGCCCACCTCTCTATGCCAACACCCTGAACACTTCACAGAGCTCGAGAAACTGCAGAAAATAGCAGGAAAAGCTCTCCCAGAACTGCAGGAAGTGCCAAACCTTGACTAAGGAGGCCTTTAGAATGGTTTTTGTTTGTCTGCAAGTACTGTACTGTGAAAAACAAAGTTCACTTTCCTGGTAGATTTTAAAAGGTTTAATAAAACACAATAAGAGACAAACAATAAAGCAAAAGGTTATACGGGTGCTTGGCCGTCAGCCAAGAGCAGCCCTGCTGGTTTGGAGACACCCCTTAAATTCATCAGCCCACTGCACATTCACAGACCTGTCATACATTTTCAAACTTTTCTAGAAACTATTTTCCATATTCCAGGAACTGTTTTGCGTGGCCATTCCTTGAGTGTGCCTTTTTAGAGCATGTGTGTTTCTTGGTTGTGGTTTTAATTTATTTTTCTTATCAGTCTTAATTTGGGCTGTGGTTTTTAATTTTTACAGACAGTCAGTGCTGGTAGCTGGTGTATCAGTAGCAGGTGTCTTTATTGGGTGTTAGCCAAGCAAGGCAGTTCACTTACCACAAAGACACTTCATCAGCCTATGTTACTCCTAAAGAAAACTGTATCTTAAAAACCATTTCAACAGCACACCTTTAGTATCCACCCTAATATTTGTGAAAAGCCAATACCATAATCTGTATTTGTAACAGTACGATCAAGATACTCATTCTACAGGCACTGCAGCCTAAGGATACAATCTCAACACGCAGAAGACTTCAGCAAAGAGAAACGAGGAGCAGGAAGGAAGAGAGGGAGAAAAAACCACAAAAAGGAGCTCTGGAAGCTGGTACATCTCAAATGTATCAGCACATCCCCATCTGCCTGGAACAAGACCTACCCATATGGCCAGCTGTACTGCACGGCCCTCCACCACCATCTTCTTCACTTTAAAATCAATACCTAAGATGTAAGCAGGGGAAACCCGTCAGAAGGAACTGTGGAATGGATCTGCCCTGGCAGCCGCTCCCTGCAGCCCCCGCGTCCGCACATTCCGGCTGCGCACCCCAGGAAGAGCAGCCCCTAAAAGAGCAAGCCCAAAAAGAGCAGCCCCAAAAAGAGGAAGCCCAAAAAGAGCAGCCCCAAAAAGAGCAGCCCCAAAAAGAGCAGCCCCAGCCCCGGGCAGGCTCCGGGCTCACCGACGGTGGGTTTGAGGCGCGGCTCAAAGGCGCCGTCCGTGACTCTCCGCAGGAGGCTGTGGGGACACAAACCGCGGGCTCAGCCCGGGGCTGCGCTCGGGGCCCCCGCGCGGGCCGCGCCAGCACCTGGACTTGCCCACGGCGCTGTCTCCGACCAGCAGCAGCTTCAGCGTGAGGGCCGCGGGCTCCGTCCCGCCGGGCCCCATCCCGCCCGCTCCTCTCGGCGCCCCGGGCCCGGCAGCCGGCGCGGCCCCGCCTCTGAGGGCGGGACGGGAGCGGGCCGGGCCGGAGCCGCTGCTCCAAGGGCTGCTGGCTGACGGCGGAGGCTCGGCCATGGGCGATTACCAGATCTCGGTGGAGGAGCTCAACGACCTCCTGTCTAATGAGAGCGGCTGCTACAGCCTGCCCAGCGCGCACAGCAACGAGGTGGTGCCGCGCATCCACGTGGGGAACGCGTGAGTGAGCGCGCCGGAGCGGGGCCGGGCGGGGGCTCGGAGCGGGCCTGGGCCGGGCCGGGCCGGGCTGGACTGGGCTGGGATGGGCTGGGTGCGGTGTCCGGAGGGGCTGGGCTGGGCTGGCCTGGGCCGGGCGGGTGCGGTGTCCAGCGGGCAGAGGGGGCCGGGCTGGGCCGGGCCGGGTGTGGTGTCCGGAGGGGCCGGGCCGGGTTCGGTGTCCGGAGGGGCCCGGTTGGGTTCGGTGTCTGGAGGGGCCGGGCCGGGTTCGGTGTCCGGAGGCGCTGGGCGGTCACCGAGCAGCTGCCGGTGCTTGGAGCCGGGTACATTGACGCTGCAGGGCGGGATCTGCTGCATCTCCGCGGGGTTCATTTTCTGCACCACATCGTTATTTCAGTTATCTGTTCCAGTCCTATCCTGATTTTCTTCCTCCTTTTTTGTCCACCTTTGTACACTTTTTCCCAGTGAAACTGGGTATTTTTAATTTTTTTTTTTTTTAATATACACGTGTAGTATACTGGATCCCTGTTCCTATTTTAGGCTTACACCTCATAAAGAAATACAGGTCGAGATCATATGTTGTCATTAATTTTCTCCAAAGCCAAACCAAATTATATTTGTTGCTGCCAGGTGGTGCAGGACATGCACATCTAGAGATGGGGCTGAAATCATTCAGGAGTGTCTGACAGCCACCATCTCCTTCATATCTGGAGCAGTTACCTGGAAAAAATTAAGTCATAGCTTGCAAGTTGATTTGCACAGTAAATATATAAATATAAAGCTATAAATATATAAATAACTTTGAAGGTAGTTAGCTACTACAGAGTCGTTTTCATTGTTCAGTAATTAATTTTAATTACAGAGATTTTAATATAATCAAATGCAAGGGTGTCTAGGAACAGATAATGCATGTATAAGTTGCACAATGGAAAATCTCTGTCTTGTGGAAATCTTGACCATTGAGAAGGACTTTTTATGTAATAAGTGACAAGCAAAAATATCTGAAGCACCAGTGCAGTTTGTAGCATAGGAACAGTTCAGCAGCTAGTTGGACAAACAGAAGACATGCAGTTATATTGTCAGTGTTTTTAAAAGAATGCTGAATTTTTTTTAAATAATTCCTTTTTTTAAAAGAAAAATTGTGGAGGGCAGCAGTAAGAAATAACTTGGTGGCTGAAAAAACTATTTCACAGTTGGAACAGATAATGACTTAATTTGTCAAGACTTTAAAGGGGCAATAATATCTTTGAAGCATCCAGAGAGTTAAGTAATGCTGAGGTTTAGTTGAATAGATGGATTTCCATTAAGATTTGGTCACTGCATGGTGAATTTTGATATTCTCAAACTGGAAATATTAATTCTTAAGAGGATTTTTTGTATCAAGTGGAGTTGTGGTGTATCCTGCATTGAAAGCAGCATTTGCAATATTAATCATTCTGAAACAATATGAATCTCAAACATCATTTTGAGCTTCATGTCCTGCTTTTGTATTGCTGTGTGCAATATAGGGTCACATTATGAATAACAAGCAACAGAGATTTTATAGCAATAAATATTCACAGAGCAGCCAGAGTAGGGGGATTGGAATGCCAATACATGATATAAAATTAATAGAATTTGAACAAGAACTCGCAGGAAAACATTCAAACCTCTGAGGGAGACTCAGAAACTTCTGTTGGTTACCTTTTAGGATATTTTGCACAGTGGTGCTGCTGTAACTCATCTTTAGATAAAAATGACAGCATGGAAACGCTCAGGCTGATGAGATTAAATTGTCATAGTGTAGAATAACAGTTTATCTGTCAAGTGACCTCAAGCTGCAGGCAGAACCAAAGTAATGGATCTTCCAGGCAACACATGAAAGTCAAAATTAATGAAAATGCAGAGATAAAATATTTTGAAAATCATGGGTTTCCAGATTACCATAGGCAATTCTGACTTCTCAAGAAGATTTGACAATATTTGTGAAGACAAGAGTGAAAATGTAATAAAACCCCAATAATTATATAGGGGATAGACCAGCACAATTATATATTTTTCAAACAATAACAAAATAACAATTTGTGATGCACTGGAAGTGCACATTATTTTGTGTTTTTGTATAAGTGGAGATGTGTTTCAATGTAACATTTAATCTGACCAGAAGGGTTGGACAGAATTCATTTTTATCAGGGTTGAAGATGACATAAAAATGGGGCCAGGAGGGAGCAGTCAGCACACTGGAGGGTGGAAGGCTTTTATCCAGAGCATCCATTCTTGTGAAAATCAGTGTTTTGCCTGAAAATGAGCAGGCTTAGATTTCTGGGCTGTGTCTGAGGAAATTTGTTTGTGGGGTTTTTCCCAGATGAAACCTATAACGATTCTGGCCATGTCTCCAGACATGTATTTGGTAAAAATATTCTGGTTTTGAATGCCCAATCTTTCTTTTTCTGTCTGCTTTAATGTATGTGGATAATTCATGAAGCAATTCTTTGTTCTTAATGTGCTATAAGTGCAGGTATGTTGTAAGGAGTATGGAGGGCATTCTCCCAAAATTAATATTAAATTTAGTGACTGTAAGGGAAGTGTTGGTAAGGAAACAATTATTTTGCATGGACAGGACAGTGCAAGTTAAAATGTATTAATAGGTTGGCATTTTTTGCCATTAAAAATTTGCTTTATTTGCTTATAATTCCTTATGCAAATAGTTCATAGCCTCGTGTAATCCTTAATTGCTGATGAATGGTTCTCCAAAACCTTTTTTTATGGCTGTTAAAATAATTCATCTCTGTTCAAAAGAAGCACTTCTCACTGATGTTGCTGACAGAATGAGGAACTGTAAATCTCCCATATTGAGAATGGACAAGATTCTGTGGTTTTTTTTCAGGAACCAGATGAAGCTGATGTTAGCATCTCCCTGCTATTTGAAGGAGCTAGCATTTCAACATCCAACATGATGCAGCTGGAATGAAATGTTAAGGATGAGAGATATCCAAGGACTGTTTGGAAAGGGAGAAACAAATGGCATACAAATTCTCTCTTTTTCACCTCCAGCTGTGTAAGAAAATCGTCTGTAAAATCTGCAGAAATCATTCACTGGGAATGAGTTTGCCTCCAGGGAAGCCAGTCTGTTTCCAGATTCAACCATGATTTCAGGATGGGAGTTCCTCTTGATGCTGAACAGTCAGATATATGCTGATTTATATAACATTAATTAATCCATATTCTCACCCTCCATAGTGTAGGAACTCACTGCTGAATTAACCCTTTTTGGTTTGGCCTTGCTCTGTAGATTTTTGTGTTGAAAGCAGAATTCTCCAGATACTGAAACTTCTCCCCTGGCACAGATGATGTCCTGCCAGATGGAAAATCTGTCAGCATTTGTTTGGGTAATAAAGTCTTACAAATATTTGGTTCATTGCCATAGTTGCTTGGCACAGGCAGCAGGAAATGTAGAAGCTTCAGTCATGCTCAGGTCTTCATCTGCTTACATTAGAATTTAAGGGATGTGCAGTCGTCAGGAAGAAAGAATTCTCAAGATGTTCATGGCCTTGAATTACATCAAAATTGTGAGTGAATGGACTCAGAGATGCATATAGATGTAAACCAACTAATTTGGGTGTTTATTTTTTCAATTACCCAAGTGTCCAGGCAAAAGCCCTGGATGCATTGCCATCTCACAGAAACTTACCCAAAATGATACTGCACAAATGCTTATCTGGAGTTCAGCTTCATACTAAGACTGCTTGTATTTGCAATTTATGAGTTGAGCTGTAGGGAGTTTTTCAAAAATATTTTTGTTTCCAGTTAGACTCATACTGAAAGCTGCTTTTAAAAACAATCTGTCTAGGCTACCTCTTTCCACAAAGTGTGCAGGAACTGAGTTATCCTTCAGCTAAAGCTTTCTGTCACATTCTGCTAATGTTGACCAGTGGGGCTTATATTTTACTAGGAGATCACATAGTGTGATAAAACATGGGGTTTTTTTTTCCTTCCCAGGAAAGTGAGGCAAATATTGCAATGACATATGGAAATAATCAGACTGAGAATGAAAAGTAGAGGGTTTATGGCAGAAAGGAGTCAATGCTCTCCTGTTATTAATTAATGGTTAGCTCCTCTTACTATAGATTGCATTGCAGGGCACAAGCAGAGATTTGTGCCTGGTCAGTTGTGTTACTCAGCAGGTGAGTTGTTTGCCATTGTACATCCTGGAGCTTTTACCAAAGCTTATGGCATTATTACTGGATCTAATTAATTGTCATCATCAAGCCTGAAAGGTGTGATTATGATGTAGCATCCAGCTCAGTGTTCACTAACAGGGTAGGTCACTGAGTATGGATGCTGGTGGTTTTGCTACAATTATTGGAAAAACTGAGGAGTTGGAAAGGACTTAGCTGACCTACAAGTACTGAGTTTTTTCCTAAGCACTTTAGCAACTTAAACATCACTCATCTGGATTCTTCCACATTCAGATACTGATTTCAGCTAGGACACTGACAATTGTAACACCTTTGATGGGAGCACTGAGTCTCAAAGACTGAGTGAGATCTCTGTGTTTCTGGATAGCCTTGACAGATCTTTCCACGACTTCAAAGGTGTTGAATAGAACAGGGTATAGGACTGCACCTCTTAGTAGCCCTCAGATGAGTCTTTTGAAGATGCAGTAACATTTACTCAGTTATTTCTTCCTGTGGCCTGTTAAGAAGTCAGTGCTGTTTCACAGTGCTTAAAATTGCCCCCTGTAATGTCAGTTTGTCTGGACTGCCTGCTAAAGTAGCAAATGCTGCTTATCAAGTTCTGCAACACTGGTACCTGACAATAAAGGCTTTTTATAGCTGGTTTTAAAATTCTTTTATGTGGATAACAGCTAATCTTAGAAGTTAATGTGTTATCATCTCCAGTATTTTCCTACTTTGGTCAGAATTTTGTGTTGAGAAAGTTACAATTTAATGGCACAGTAGGATCTGGTAGATGCAGATTCACTTCCATGTGTGCTTTCCTCAGTTGTCAGCCAGGAAAGCTCTCATACACAAGTAGTGACCATGGCTCTGAGTATTTCTGTGTATTTATAACCTGTAGTAATTCACTTTTGGGCACAGTGTATTTGGCATCTATTAGCAGAAAAATCCAAGGGTTTGGTTATCAGTACCTAAATACTGAGATGAGTCACCAAATTCTAATCATTTTCTTGGCACTTTCTGTCGTGCAGGTTCATAGCCAAGAACATAATGAGGCTGCAGCGCCTGGGGATAACCCATGTTCTGAATGCAGCAGAGGGGAAATCATTCATGCATGTGAACACTAATGCAGAGTTCTATGAAGGCACAGGCATCAGATACCATGGCATTAAAGCCAACGACACACAGGAATTTAACCTCAGTCGCTATTTTGAGGAGGCAGCTGATTTTATTGACAAAGCCCTTTCCCAGAAGGATGGTAAGGCAAACTGAAATACCTTTCTACCATGTTTTCTGTGCACTGCATATGTTTCTTAGCAATTTGCTGTTTCAAATGATTCTTTGCTCACATTATCAACAGAACAATTAAGTGAAAAATGCAAATAAAGGCTCTGAATCAAAGAATACACAGTATTCTGTGCACAAGAATACACAGTAAGACAGCTTAGGCTTGTGTTTATTCGTGTAGGTCTCCAGTACATGGCAAAGGGAAGTGTGGCACTGCAGGGGTGACTTTGAAATGGGAAATAGCTGCTGCAGCTTATTATCATTTCTTTCTGGGAAGAGATGTTTATTTTTCCTTAGAAGTGTTAAATCACATTAAAAATATTTTTTAAAAATAAGTTAAGAGTCTAAAAGTTGCTTAAGGACATTAGAAATTACAATTTGAAGGCAGAAGTAATACAAGTAGTACAAGTGCTGCAGAGTAGTTACATTACCTGTTACATGGAGTTTTTTCCAAATGTACAGTAAGAATAGAGACTGTCACTTTGCAGTTTTTATTACATTAAGTCATTATATAATTTTGTGTGTCGTTTGCCTCTTTATTTCCTAGAATTGCAGGACAGTTGAAGGTTATATTTTCAATGTTGTTTATTGCCACATTTCTCTAGTGTGTTTCCTCAGAGCAGAAATCCTAGGACACAGTGCAGTGGGACAGATGGTGTTTGTGTTGTCTATTTCAACATTCCAGTTATTTCTACACGTGTTTAATTTCTTTCTTTCTTCGTGACTGAGCATTGAATAGCAGGAATGAGAACTCCCACAATTCTAGAAGTTCTTTCTCTGAAATGGGCAAAGGGGTGCTGGAGCTGTGATGTGGGTTTTGACAGATGGAAATAAATTCTACATCCAGTTTGATGGAGTATGGAAAATTCTAAAAATTAAATGCAGCTCTTGCAGTTGGCATTGTGACTCACTGAAACAGGCTGCAAGAGGAGAGAAGGGACTGCTGTGCCATGACTGTGCCTGCTCAGTTTAATCTCAGGAGTTTCAGGGTCAGTAAATCCTGAATCAATCTGAATTTGCAGCAGTTCCATTTGCTATTGGCTGATTCTTTCCATCTTAGTTGCCTACCACGCCCACCACTGTTTGTTTTAATGTGGTAAACAAAGAGGAATTTTGGAGCTGGGTGATGTTGCAGCCAGTTTTAAGATTAATTGGCAACTGCAAATTGTTAGTTTTGTTTGACATGGAAATGGAGAAGAGAAGAGAAGAGAAGAGAAGAGAAGAGAAGAGAAGAGAAGAGAAGAGAAGAGAAGAGAAGAGAAGAGAAGAGAAGAGAAGAG